CTCTCCCCTCCTCCATCGATCCCATCGATCGCATGCCAAAGGCATTTCGTAGTTTGCGTTTTTCGGCTGCTTTCGCTCGCGCATGAATTGTGGCCCACACTTTAGAAACATGCTTTATTTCTCTCTCATAAAGCATCAACTGAAGCTGGGCAAGAGCTCAAACAGATGTTTGTATACACGATTAGTTTCTGTATTTATTCATTTTTTTGTTAAAGCTTACTCGAAAGTAACTCTGGGTGGGCAGGGTCGCTTTTCATTTGAAAAGCATCTCTGAAATATTATTTATGTGTTTCAAGAATTTAATTTAAAAGGTAGCTTTTAATAATATAACATATCATTTGTTTGTTTTAAGAACTCAATTTATAAATAAGCTTTTAATTAATTTAAACAAACAAACAACTTCCAATTTTTTTTAAGTTGTGCACTCTGTTATGTATTGGAACATCGGTTAAAAGGCAGATAGAGTTGCACGACTATCGCTTAAACTCGAAAGCTCCTAGAATTATTAAGGCCCAACTCAAATAATATATAACTGAAGACCTCTTCTAAGGACCCAACAACAAAAACCAACTCGTTCTAAACTTTAAGCAAATCTCGCAATAATTGATATTCTCCTAGATCGCAGCTTGAAGCAGAACCGTCTTGAAGACGTTCAGGATATTTTCGATATGTTAAGCCATAGCAGAACATAGAGTACTGTGTAGTCGTCTACTCTCAACTATTCATACAAGTCAGCGAATAAATGTTAAATATTTAAATTTCGCGCCTACCAAGTAGTAAGCAGTGACCGCAAGCAGTTCACCAAGAACCGCTTGCAGTACTGCCTTTTCAAAAATAGAATATAAATATTGAACACCAGGTGGCGGTAAAGCATTAACAGTAGTGTCGACACTGCTTGCACAAAGCAGTCAAACAACCCAAGTGTATGGAGTTTGAATAAAGCAGTAAGCAAGCAGGTTGGCGGGCGTTCAAAATTATATTTGAAAACATTACGTAAAAAATTCTGTACCCTATTTTCTATAATACCAAAACAGACTTATAGAAGAAGTTAGAATGCATGCTTACTATTTGGCTCATCAGTTTTTTCTTTTATTTATATAACAAAGAGAAAGAGAAATACAATTTATCTTGTGCCCAGGCACATGTCAAAAACAGTTCAAATTGTCTTCGACAAATGATTAATTTTTTGAATTTCCACTTAATCGCAGTGTATTTAACACCATTTACTGTCAAAGTTCGTCGAACTCTTTGTTCTTTTAACATATGCAGTGCTTCCATAGAAGACAGCCCATTCCCGTGGCCCTCAACCTGATGACGAGCAATTTTTAATGCTGATTCTACGCGATTCCCCAATGAAAGTTCGCTTTGCCGGGCGCTCGTTTCGGCGAAAAGTTTTCGCTGCTGCCGAGCGAAAATCAAATCGAATACAATTTTCAATTGAAAGTCATCCAGTTGCAGTGCCGTGAGAATTTTGACAGCTCCAGATATGCGATACACTCGCACACACTCGAACAAATTGGCCCGCATCGGGTTCAATGCGACGAGTTCGAATTTAAGGAAGTAACCGGCGTCGCTTATCGGTGACTAACTGCAGAGCCCAAAGAATCCAAACGAAAAAACAAAACAGCACAAAAACTGAAGAACCACACAATAAGAACTTGCCTAGAACAGCTGAAAAGCAGCTAGCTGGCGGGGGTCTATCAGTCAGGAAGATACTCTGTAAAATGTAAAGAACTTTGACGAATCGTCTTCTCGAAGACACTCAAATATAGTCTGGTTATTTGAATTGCGAAAAGTCTTTCTTCTTTTTTTTCTTTAAAACAATGCCTATTTAAATGTTAAGTTTCTGAATGAATGCCAATTCAACTCTTAACTCTTAACTCTTAAGTGCAGCATAAAACAATTTGTTTTTGGTTATTTATTTTTAAGATATAAGTTCTAGAATACTTTATAAGCAAGTCTTAAGCATAAGCCCTTTCTAAGATAAGTTCTCTTGAAGAGATAACAACATCTCAGCAGAGTAGAAATTCAAAATCTTGTATGAAAAAATCTTAGAGCTAGCTTAGAGCTTAGAACTGAATTAATGTAAGCAGATTGTATTTAAAATAAATTGTAAAACTGATTCCCAAAAGTTTTAAGATGCAAGATAAATGCAAGCTGATGATCTTTCAAACTGGTTTTTCTTCCTTATCTAAAAGTGTTCTCTATTCTGTCGACTATTTAATAATTGTTATTTAATTATTTGGCTCTGGCCTCTAGAATTACACGTAATGCACTTTGCGCACATGAATTGAGTGTGTTTTGGCCATGTTTATGAATATACAAAGTCGGTTTTGGCCTGTGTCAGCCAAGTCAACGTCTTGTTTTGGCCGAGTGCAATGAACGCTCGCTCAGTTTAAGTCATATTTATTATTTTTGTATTATTTTTGTTATTTGTTGTTCTTTTTGCTGCATTTTATTTTTGGGCTCCTATTTGTTTTTGTTTTAGCGCGCACGCGTTGGCCGTTCTCTTCTTATCTGTCATTGGCAATAAAAAGTGAAACAATAATAATACAAATTGTTGGGACTTGCTTGTGTTAGCAAACTATGTAGTTGCAAGTGTGTGCGTGTGTGTGTGTGTGGGTGTGGCTGTGTGCGTGGGTTGCCTCAGCTGTGCTTATCAATTGAGAGGCTTATCAATTGCTGATGATTAGTAAATCGCCGTTCATGTCCGTGTTGCAACAATACACAAAGGCGGGGCTGCAACTGCAATTCGTGTGCAATTCGAGGCACAAGGAAGCAACCAGAGAGGGCTTGCACAATTCGCGCAGTGTAGTCATCGATATCGATAGCTACCGATATCAATCTGTGATTATTTGACTGATAAGCTTGACTCGCCCGCCAGCCTGGCTGCAATGAACGCTTATCGTGCATGTGCAGGCGCTGCGTATGACTGTTTAACTGTTTAAGTATAAGTATAAACAAACGGTAAACTCGCGCACACCTTAAAAGAGACACACAACTTGACCTAAATAAGGGCAGTTTTCAAAGCGGGAGCGGGAGCGAGAGCGAGAGCGAGCGGCCGACTCGCCGTTGGGGTGAGTGAGAGCTAGCTACGACTTTTACAAATCGTTGCATTTAAATCAACAAAACTACGAAGCGTGCTAATTTTTATGTATTTCATAACCGACTTTTAATTTAAATATAAGACGCAAAAGACAACAACAACATGTTACGTGAAAGCTCAAGCGTAAGCTCTCCGCCTGCCGCTCACGCCTAACGCTCTCGTTTGGGCTCAGTCACGCATGCGCAACAAAGCAGTGCAGCCAAAGCGCTTCAATTTATTTTCTTCTAAACAGCAGGCAGCCTAAACATAATTCAAAGTGCGCAAGGCAGTTGTGCTTTTGGCTGGGTGGGTGGGTTGCTTGAGTGTGTTCGTGTGTGTGCGCCGGCTCTGTTGCGGGCGTGGTGCTGCCTGCTATTGTTGTTGCTGCAGTCGCTGTTCTTCTTGCTGTTGTTGTTGTTGTTGTTTTTGGCTCCCCGACTCCTCTCCAAAAAGCAAACGAAAATGAAAGCGAGCACACACAAATTTGAAGTCGTTTCGGCAGCAGCGACGTCGGCAGCGCTGCTTTTTAGCTTTGTATGTGTGTGTGTGTGTGGGCAGACTGCGCTGTCATGACGTCACAAACTTTATGGAAGGCAAACTGCTGTGTCAACCGTGCAGAAGCAATGGAGAAAAAAAGATCAGTGGTTAGCGCTAGTAATAAACTAAAAAAGAACTAATACGTGAGCTACGTACATATGTTTAAAATATGTCGCTATGAATAAACCACAACTGTTATGATCCATCACATGCATTAAAATATACGTAAGTCATGTATATTATAAATAATACCAAGCAACAACTTATATGCTTACAATCACTGCATTAATATATTTTGAATATTATTTATATTTGTCTTCCTTTCGGCACAGCACTTTGACTTTATTCACACCACACAGTCACAGCCAGCCAAAGCTTAAAGCAACACCAACAACTTGCACGCTAAGTAAACTGCCTTGCAGTTGTTGTTGCTTTTGTTGTTGCTGTTGTTGTTGTTGTTGTTGTTGCAGCACTGCTGCTTCTGTTGGTTTTGGCGTTCCGTTGAGAGTAAAAGTGATTGGGAAAAACTTTTGCTTTTGCCTTCGATCGTTTGGTTGCTTGGCTCTTTTGCACTCTCAATTTGTGTGTCTCTCTTTCTCTATGTTGGTCTGTGTGCGTGTGTGTGTGTGTGTGTGTGTGTGTTGTGCTTTGGCCTGACCACCATCCACAGGTAGTTGCTGTAAAAGCAGCGCAGTCAACGTCTCAGACGACGAAGTCATTTTGGGCTTTCATGGCGCTTTGCTCTCTTTGCCCGTGTGTGCGTGCGTGTGTGTGTGCCTGTGTTGCTTATTTTTCGGCCGCTGTTGGCGTCGCTGCTGCGTTTGCGTCTCATTTTCTTTGCGCTGCTGCTGCTGTTGCTGCTGCGCTAAAGACTTTTTGTCACAGTTACAATTTACCAATTGTAAGCAGCGGACGCGAGCGCGCAAGCAGCATACAAAAAAAGCTCGCATAGCTAAAAGCGCATAACGGTTCTTCAGGAGCAGCCTTCTAATACAAAGCGTTCGCGTCGGCGTCAGCGTCAGCGTTAACGTCGACGTCAGCGTCAGCGTTAACTTGTAAATAAAGAAATACTCGCATATAAAATCTGTTGCATCATTGCTGAAACACTTCAGTCGCTGAATCGCGTGCGTGGAGGCAACACTTTACGCGACAACAACAACAACAACAACAATAACAACAACAAAGTGCAACAACAACAACACAAGAAGCAGTGCGCGCAGCTGCAGTGACAATTTCAAGCGGCATCTAAACGAAAAAAAACTAAAAGTGTTTTTAAAATAAAATAAAAAAATGTGCTAAGTTAAAAAAAAAAGGAAGCAAATAAAAAGTGGCTTAAGCAAAAACAAAGTGCAGTTTTCAAAAAATGTAAAGCAAAAAATAATAAAAAAAAAAATTCAAAGTTATTAAATTGTTTTCAAAATTAAGAATTTTGTTGCAAACATTTCCAAAGAACAGTTTACCTCAACTAACAACAACAAAGACTCTCAAAAATGATTTAGCGGCTGCCAAAGGGATAGAAAGCAAAGTTTTATAAACCGCAAACGCCACCCGCTGCCCGCCGCTGCCCGCCCCCGCGCCCTATTGCAAATTGGAATACAAAATAAAAGGCATCAAAATTTTACCCTCATTCGCAAACCTCAAAATGCTGAACATGGAATCGCCTCAGATGTACGCGGATGCGGTGCAGACGCTGGCGCAGCTCGACTTGAAGAAGCAGCCGCAGCCGCTGCCGCAGCAGGCAACAATCGGCCAAATTACACTGACGGCGATGTCCAGTGCACAGCAGCAGCAGCAGCAACAACAGCAACAACAGCAACAGCAACAGCAGCAGCAGCAGCAACAGCAGCAGCAACAGGTGACAACTGATGCGAACAACAATGCAACAGTTCAGGATGCGGCGCTGCTGGTCAAACAGCATGCGATGCAGCAGATGCAGCTGAGCAACAACAACAGCAACAACTTGCTGCAGAAACAAATGTTGCAACAGTACAGCACACAAACGGATCTGGACGAGCTGACCACACAGGAGATAACCTTGGACTTGCAACATTTGATAGACGATCAGTTCCGGGACACGGAAACCCTGGGCATATTCAGCGACATGGTGACCAGTCCGGGCGGACTCTCTGCCACACTGCCGCCCAGCGGCATGGTCAGCGCGGCGGCCAAGGTGCTGCAGCAGCAGCAACAAACGCTGGCCAATGCGCGCCAGCAACAGCACTCGTATGGCCGGGCAGCGCTCGCGTACATGCCGCAGGCGGTGCACTCGAATGCCACATACAACAATCACTCGAGCGACGAGAACAGCTCCGTGGGCAGCGACTCGAGCAGCACCATCAAGGAGGAGCCCATCGATCCGGACTATCGCCGGCATCTGCAGGAGTCGGTCAGCAGCCAGGCGGCTGCGGCGTTTATCAACAACAGCAATGGGCTCTACAATGCGTATCAGAGCAACAACTTGAGCAACAACAACAGCAGCAGCAACAACAGCAGCAACAACAGCAGCAACAACAGCAGCAACAGCAACACTAACTCAACGAATGCAGCTCAGTTCACCAATCTGACAACGGCTAATGTCCTGGCACATCACAGTCTGCCGCATCTAACGGCAAACACGGCCCAGCAACTGTTGAAACATCACTCGAAGCTGCAGCAAACGCAGCAGCAGCATGCACAGCAGCAGCAGCAGCACGCACAGCAGCAGCATCGCAAGCACAGCAACAAGCATGTGGACAAGGGCACCGAGGAGTACCGCAGGCGGCGCGAGCGCAATAACATTGCGGTGCGCAAGAGTCGCGAGAAGGCAAAGGTGCGCTCAAAGGAGGTGGAGGAGCGCGTCAAATCGCTGCTCAAGGAGAAGGATGCGCTCCTGCGTCAGCTGAGCGAAATGACCAATGAGCTTTCGCTGCACAAACAGATTTATATGCAGCTGATGAATCACACGAATCCCGAAGTGAGTCGCGTCTGTCGCAGCTTTCTCAATACCAACGAACATGCGCTGTAGCTGTGATGATTGACTGAACGAGTGAAAGAGAGAGAGAGAGCGAGAGAGAGAGAGCGCGAGGAGAGAGCCTGTAAATTAGTGTGATTGTGCGTGTGCGTGTGCATGTGTGTGACTGACTCAATAAAAGCTGTGTGTGGGTAGCGTATAAGTCTAAGGATGTTAAAGCTGTAAACAAAGCAAACAGAATTAAAAAAAAAAAAACAAAAAAATCAACAACTCGCAGCGCATGACTTGCAATATACCCAAAAACAAAAATCTGTATATAGGCCACAAATCGATGTGCAACTAGTTTGCAGCAAGCAATGCGAGTTGTTTAAGTTTTGCTAAGATCTTTAACGCGACTAGTATAAGTCCCAATTACTCTTCTACTACTTCTACTACTATTACAACAACTACCGCTACTTGTACTTGCTCTTCTACTTCTATTCGAACTTCATCTATTTGTACATTATTTTGGCTGGGCGTTTCTTATACTTTCTGTGTGTTTGTTATCATTGCTTCTATTTTGTACTTAATTTTAATGAAAATTGTAAAATACTTTTGCACATTTTGATACAAATTATATAACATAGTATGCATAAGTTAAGCCAAAGAAAAGAAAATGTTTAAATATTTATCTAATAACTATATACTGTATCTGTATATGTATGTGTATAAATAAAGCAAGCAGGAAAGAAAACATAAAATACAAAACAAAAAACAAAAACAAAAACAAAAGAAAAAAAAACACACACACACACAAAAACCTATTTATGTAAATCTATTTAAATATGCTAAGAACAATAATAAAAACAAAACAACAACAACAACAACAACAACACTGGTGTGCAGCTTGCGCTATGCTTCTGATTGCCCCTGCCACGCCCCCGCTTTAGTTGTCTACCAACAACAACAACAAGAACCTTTTATTAGCAAATCTTTAGCTTTAAGCTTAACAATATAAACAATTTCAACTGCTTTTGTTGCACAGGAAAAGAGAAAACCCAAAATAATTAATTAATTAATATATATATATATATATATATATGTGTGTGTACAATTATTGTTACCTAGCAAATTTAATGAGAATGCATACAAATCTACACACTAATGTAAGGCAACAACAACTACCGAAAAAAATCTGAAAAACTCAAAAAAAAAAAAAAAACAACGCAAGTAAAGGAAAATGAAATAAAACTGATAATTGCCTAGAAGCGTAGTTGATGAAAATGCTATTATTTTGTAAGGCCAACGCAATGTTCTCATTTTTAATTTATAAATTAAACGACAAAGAAACAAAACACACTGTAAAGCAACATATAAATAAATTTTAATAAAATTTGTATAGAAAAAGAGCATTCAATTAATTTCATTTTCAATTATTTTCAGATGCTTGAACTTGTTAATCAATTTAATTAAAGTTTATTATTTTGCAAATTATTTTCAAGTTATCGGGCATTTTCTAGATGTTCTCTCAGGAAAATTCCAGAAAATATCAGGCATACGATTACGCCTTAAATAACGAAGCTTTTTTCTTTGATTGTCGAACTTACAAAAATATTAAATCATTTAATTTAAAAAATCGATTTTTTCACTGGCCAATTTTTAGTTTAATATAAATTTTAACTCACACAAAATTTCAAATTATCATGGTTGTTTTATTTCTTTGATAGCCCAACTTTTATGAAAAAAGAAATTGTTGAAATTTGATTTGCACAAACATTTAATATTTAACAATTTACAATTATTTCAATTAAGGTCCAATAACAGCTAGAAGAACAAGAAAACAGGAACAAAATCGAAATTCATACATTTTATTTTCTTGTATTTTAAATTTTTATTCAAAAATGAATCGAAAGTGTTGGGAAATTTCTAGTGTGCCTAAGATGCACATAAAGAAAACACACGTAGTGGTTCGGTTAAATGTTTAATGGAAACTTCCAAGCATGAGTACAAAAATCTGAACAAGTACTCAATTACAGAATGAGTACTATGCTGATACAATGTTGCCAGATTATAAAGAAGCTTAACAGCTTATTGTCACTATTTTAACACTTCTTCTTAAGCTAATTATAATCAGTTGCAAAATAACAAATTTAATTCAATCCAAGTGTTTTTACAAAGCCTACGTGCTTTTGCTTACTTAAACATTTTGTTAGTATATCTGCAACATTATTATTTGTAGGTACGTATTCTAATGCAATATCATTACATTGTACCTTTTCACGTATAAAATGATACCTTATGTCTATGTGCTTAGTGCGCTTATGATGGACTGGATTTTGCGCAATATGTTGCGCGCTTAGGTTGTCGCCACATATAGTCAACGGCTCTGTATCCTTTGACCATCCCATCTCACTAAGTAGCCTGCGTAGATAAACTGCTTCTTTGGCAGCCATGGACAAAGAAATATATTCTGCTTCAGTGCTGCTCAATGCGACAACGCTTTGCTTTGATGAAGTCCAAGAGAACGCACTGCCTGCCAGGAAAAATGCGTAGCCACTATAGGATCTCCTGTCCAGCCGATCGTTGCCCCAATCTGCATCTGCATAGCCTTTTAGTGGTTTGCCATTTTTACGGTATACTAATTTCATATTCTTTGTACCCGCAAGATATCTTAGAATGTGCTTTGCTGCAGACTGGTGTTCTCCATGAGGATTAGCATTTCTTTGTGATAATTTGTTTACAGCATGCAAAATGTCTGGTCGGCTCAAAACTGCTAAGTATATAAGCGAACCAATTAATGACTGATATTGCGTTATATTTACCTTTACACAAGTATCGTCGTTGCAGTCCACTTGAAAACCTGGGTCAAGAGGTGTGCTTACTGGACGGCAATTGCTCATGCCATACTTGTCCAATAGGCCTTGAATGTGCGTCTTCTGGCACAGCGAAACGGAACCTCGATCGCCGTCGCGTTGGATTTCCATGCCTAGGAAATAGCTAATGGGGCCTCCATCGTGCATTTTAAAATTTGATGCAATCTTCTTCTTAATCACGGCTATGTCTTCTTCGCTGGGACACACTATGATTAAATCGTCGACGTAGACAGCGATGTAGCTGAATTGTTGTTGCTTTTGCTTGACGTATAAGCATGCTTCATTTTTGCATCTTTTAAAATCCATGCCTCTCAATACCTCATCGAGCGTATTGTTCCAAACTCGTCCGGATTGTTTAAGCCCGTAAAGTGCCTTTTCTAGTTTGAGGACTTTATTTGGATGCTGCTTGTCAATAAAATTCGGCGGCTGTTTCATGTACACAGTTTCATTAAGCTTACTATTTAAGTATGCGTTTGAAATGTCGACTTGATGCATATACAGCTCTTTTTCGGCAGCTATTGCGAATAACATGCGAATGGTTTCATATCGAATTACGGGAGAAAACGTTTCCCAGTAATTGACACCAAATTGTTGACCACAACCTTGTGCAACTAGTCGAGACTTAAATTTTTCAATATTACCATCTTTATCTCTCTTGATTCGGTAAACCCATTTTGAACCAATGGCCTTTTGTCCAGGAGGTAGCTCACACACTGACCATGTCTCATTTGCTTGTAAAGCGTCGTACTCTATTTGCATAGACTTTTCCCAATCCTGCGCATTTTGGCCATGTAATGCTTCTGCAACTGACTGCGGAGTTTCAATGTCTTCAATCTGATTAAGACTATTGATCAATTGGTACTGCTTTCTGGGCCTGCCTGGCTGACCTGTACGTATAATTTTTGGCCTGCCACGCCCATGTTTTACTACAGCTTCAACTTGTGGCAGCGCTACTTGGTCATTGTCGTCATCGTTGCCATCTTCTCCTGGATCGCTTGCGCTCACAAAATCCTCCTCTTCTTCTTCATTTGAGTCACTGTTGTACTCTTGCACCTCGGCAGGTTGCTCTGGGTGGTTTTTTGCAACCTCATGATTTGACTCAAACGGGATAATGTACGTCGTGAAGGTGTTTCTGTCTGAAATACTGCATGCATCAGTTGTTGCTATGTCAAACTCACCTTCAATGAATTTGACATCCCTTCTTTCAATAACTGTTCGCTTCTCGCGATCATATAGGCGATATGCCTTTGCTGTAAAGGAGTAACCAACAAAAATGTACTCCTTGCCCTTTGCTTGGAACTTGCTTTTTCTGACTTTGTCGAGTGCAAATGCCCGCGAGCCAAATACTCTCAAGTGCTGTACTGATGGCTTGCGATCCTTCCATACCTCAAATGGTGTGCTTCCATCTAATGCTTTTGTGGGACATCTGTTGCGCAAATAAACTGCTGTTGCAACAGCCTCTGCCCACAAAAATTCTTCAAGCTTTGAATGAATTAGAAGACTTTTTGCCATTTCAACGATGGTCCGATTAGCACGTTCGGCCACACCATTTTGCTGCGGAGTGTAAGGAACTGTTAATTGCCTCTTTATACCGCACTCGATCAAAAATTCAGTGAATTGCTTATTCACATACTCTGTTCCATTGTCGCTGCGCACAGCCTTTATTTTATTTCCTGTTTGGCATTCTACAAAAGTTTTAAACATTTTAAACTTTTCAAAAACTTGGCTTTTTGAGTGCATAAGGTAAACAAATATCTTGCGTGAGTAGTCATCAATAAAAGTTACGAAATATCGATTGCCTGCAAGCGACTTAACATTCATCGGACCACATACGTCTGTATGTACTAAGTCCAGTACTTGCTTTGAGACACGATTCGCTTTCTGTGGGAATGGCAATGCACAAATTTTTGCTTTATTACATGTATCGCAATTTATTTCTAATTGTACATTTTCAACTTTCATACCACGCACCAGTTGCTTATCATTAAGCAATTTCAAATCCTTAAAATTCAGGTGGCCAAATCTATTGTGCCATTTTATGGAAGATGAATCAGAACTATTTAGCATATGAACCTGATCAAGACTATGTTTGTAAACATACAAACCATTTTCGTGTCTTGCCCTTATTATCTCGTTGCCTTCTTTGTCTTTTATCAGCGCAATTTTCCCTTCAAATATGGTAGAATTCTCAAACTTTGCTGCAGCACTTACTGATAAAAAATTCATGCTTAAGTCAGGGACATATAAAACATTTTGCAGCTTTAATTTTATTCTATTGCAGTGCAACTCAACACTGCCACTGCCGGGTGAATCGATAAACTTATTTGCGGCCAACATTATCGACGTCTTT